AAAAATATAAGCTCTGAATCGTGGCCATCGATCGGCGATGCTTCCGGCGATATACGTGTCTGAACCTTTGATCGATGACCTCATCAAGAAATGCAAGTGCCTTTTGCTGTGGAGTTGTTTTGACTATTAAAATGGGTTGTTTTGGCGTTAATGGAGGAAGAAGTATGCTGGTGTGTTTCACGTGAAAAAAAAAAGCAAAAAAAAAAAAAAAATCGATGGGAAAAGCTGCTACAATGTCTGTTAAAGTGGATTGCTCTTGTGTGAAAAGGGGAGAGAGTTTAGTGTGGAGGGGAGAGTTAATTCCTTTTTTTTATAAGATAAAGACAAATAGCCTTCAGTTTTGGCTCAAAAAAAAAAAAAAAAAAAAAAAAAAAAATCGATGGGAAAAGCTGCTACAATGTCTGTTAAAGTGGATTGCTCTTGTGTGAAAAGGGGAGAGAGTTTAGTGTGGAGGGGAGAGTTAATTCCTTTTTTTTATAAGATAAAGACAAATAGCCTTCAGTTTTGGCTCAAAACGGAGAAGAAGGAATAAATTGCGGCAGAAGAGCTTCGGTTGGCTTGCTCACATGAACAGGTAGGCGGATTGAAGGCAAGTGACGTGAAGGTGGCGGCAAGGCAGCTTGGTACAGGTGAATATGTAGGAAGAGCTCAGGCATGTGATAGAGAGAGGTAGGCGCAGAGGTCGTTGAGCTAGAGAAAGAAATTTGCTTGCAGCAGGTTTGGTGAGGCTTGACTGTTGGTTGGAGGAATGAATAGGTGGGAGGTTTGGATTGGTGGTCGTAGATAAAAAATGTGGGTTGTTATGGCTTTTTGTGGGTTGTTATGGCTTGAGAAGAAGAAGAGTTGGGATGGGAAGATCCCTTGCTTGTGATATGGAGAGATGATGGAGAAGCCAGCAAGAGTGATTCTATTTTACCGCTTTTAATCATCAAACAGAGGGAGCGACAAGCGATTGACGGTAATGACGCAACAACCAAAAGAGTAAGTGCATTTAATGGCGTTTAATTGGAAGTTGACCTTTCTTTTTTTTTTTTGATTAATTCTTGCTCTCTGCTGAAAAAATTCTTTAAATTAAGAGTTATATTAATGCTTGGTAATTTGAGCATTTAATGAAAAGGGGACAACAATATCCTAAGTAATCCAAAATCACCTCGATTTGTGTGATTTTATTATTTTGCATAAATTTCTCCTCGTTTTGCATAAATTTCTCCTCGTTTAACATGTCGACATTACCAAATAATCAAAATTAGACAAATTGATAGTGCACTAAAGATATTGTCGATGTTTCGATCACAACGACGAAGTCCGTTTCGCAATTGGACATCATTTGGGTGACGTTGATGCCTAATTTTCTCAAAATGCGTGTTATTGCTTTAGGACTTCCTCGATTTATGTGCGCAACCTCAATTAAATAAATTGTCAGTCAATTTAGAGTATTGACGGTGTTCTAGACACAACGGTGAAGTTAGTTTGTCAATCGGATGTCATTTGTGTATCATTGAGTGATATTTTTCTCGAAATTCGTGTTTTGCCTCGAGATGTGTATCGACCTCCTCACACGTTTTAATTTGAATAAATTGGCTGTCATCCTTTTAGGTATTTTGGACGTTCTAAACGCAATGGCGAAGTCCTTTTCATGATGAGACATCATTTGGGCAGGGTCGGAGCCTCTTTCCTCGATATACGCATTAACGTATTGGGATGCATGCCACCACTCGGTCGCTCCCAATTAATCAAATTAGATGTATATTTTAAGTGTCTACGACATTTCGGACGCAACGAGAAAGTCTATTTTGCAATCGTACGTGGTTTGGGCAACGTTGAGGTTCCCTTTTCTTGATATATGTGTCGTCACTTTGTGATCCGGACCACCGCTTTGGATGATCCTAATTGAGCGTAGAAAATGTAATTCTATAGTGTTGACGACGTTCCGAACACAACAACATGATCTGTTTTGCGATCTGACGTCGTTTGGGTGCCGTCGTCAATTTCGGGTGTTGGTCATCCTTTCGGACTGATCTTTTCCGATTTGATTGCGAGGGTCCTCGACTTAGGAGATTCGATATACTGATCATAATGATATCGTCCGTTTGACAATTGGAGGTCGTTCAACCTTTCAAATGATGCGTTTCGTCAAGTGTGCGTTGCTAGATTCGCCGATTTTGGTTCCTTTTGCGCGTGGTTTGAGGTATAGGAGTCAACACATGCCCAATGCCTTCTTCCTCTTCAACCATCCAACTTGAAATTTACTAATAATATCCCATTTATTTCATTATTACTTTGAACAATAGACCTGAGATATATAAAACATGTACTCTTTTTAATGACATTGATCACCCAATGTCACAATTCTTCCTCTAGATCTATTGCTAGTTAAATTACATTCCATATATTTGATTTTAGATCTACTCTAACAAAAACATTTAGACTCTAATGTCACTTTTGTAATTCAAGTTTTTCATCAAATTCCTCTCTAGTCTTATCAACAAGAAGAATATCATCAACAAAAAACATACACTAAGGTACATCCTTGTTCAAATGTCTAGTAAGAATATCCATGACTAAAGCAAAATGATATGGGCTTAAAGCTAATCTTTAATGTAATCCAACTAAAATAGAAAAATACTTAGTCAAGTCATCTTGTGTTTGAACACAAGTAATAGATCCTGTATACATATATGTAATGACTTAAATATCAGCATTTGTAACTCTTTTTTTTCTAGAATTCTTCAAAGCACTTCTCTTGGAACTTTATCATATGCTTTCTCTAAATCAATAAATATCATATGTAGATACTCCTTACTCTCTCTATACTTCTCTATCTAACATCTCAATAAATGTATATCTTTCATATTAGACCTACCTAGCATGAATTCAAATTGATTTTGATAAACACTAGTATCACGTCATAACCTGTGCTCAATTGTTCATTCCCATAATTTTAAGGTATGACACATTAACTTAATCCTTTATAATTGCACACTCTTGTGCTTCATCTTTATTCTTAAAATTGAGAATCAACACTCATTCTTCATTCATCTGACATCTTTTTAAAATTAAAAAGCCTTATCTCAAAATAAATATATAATGTATACAATTTAAGATATGTGTATAAGACATATTATTGTATTTATATTTATAAATTTAATTAATTAAAATTAAATTTAAGTCAACTTGAAATTGATGTAAAGTTGACTCAAAATGATTTTAATTTGAAGTTGAGTTTGAGTTGAACATATATATATATATATATAGCTTATAGTTAGGGTTTGGTTAATGTTAGTCTAATGTTTTTTTTTTCTTGGGTGATGTTTAGCTGAAGTGAATGTATGGGCAGGCAAGGGGAAGGGATGGAACTAGGATTGATATGTCATTACCTTCAACAAATTCAGCTATGATACTAATATCTGTAGTAAGGGATCACTATTGATTCCAAATTGATGATGGACCCTTCTTGGTGATATGAATTTTTATTATCTTCTCATTTTCTTGATTTTACCATTAAAACTTGCTTGGATTCTCCTTTAATTCAGTCTCTGATTTAGGAAGGGGTGAATACCTTTAAAATTTTCTTGTGAAGAGTGGATATAGTAGGTGTTGCGTAAGTTGAGATTTTTTTGGAGAAAATAGATTTTCAACTTTGGGAATCTTTCCTAACACAATTATCGTAATAGGTGGGAAATAAATTTGTGGGAGAAGTCAATATTGAATCTTTTATCTTAGGAATCTTTGGATTTGTGTTTCCTGAGTGGATCAAAGAGTAAAAATGTAGGAGAAAAATGAGGAATTTTGATTCAAATTGCAGTTTATTATGGATTATTTACAGATTTGGAAATAGGATTACATGGATAATTTTAACTAATTCAAATTTAAATCAAGATAACCTAATGATCTGATAAATTCTATAGTCAGAATAATCCTTGCAAACAAATTATTTTAATTGTTTCTTTTCATAACAAATTAACAAGTAAAATGTAAAGAAATGCAAACATAATCCAAAAATAACTAAATTAATTTAAGTTACCTTGATTAGTATCTTGGAGAGTAATAGATTTAGTTTCCCATTCCATGCAACAGTTCTTAGATGAAAATATTTTTAAACAGGTTCTAATTTCCAAAATATTTTGGAGAAGTTTGAAAGTCTATGCTTTTATGAGTAGTTTAGTGGTTGGGTTTTTTCTCCTTTATGGAATTATTTATTTCTGCCAAAAAGCATATGTTATTTATGCTATTAGTCTTTTATGCTTTAGTGCCAGAAGCATGTTAGGTTTTACTTGCTTAGGGGTTGTTTGGTTGTTTGAAAAAGGAATGCAGTGTAAAAGGAATATTTTGAAGTTGTTTGGATGATTGTAAAATGAATACTTGAGATTTCTTTTTTTTTTGTTGGGTTTGAAGTTAAATGAATCCAATGTAAAGTGTAAAAAGGTAGTGGTCGGCAATAGTCAGTGGCCAGCTACAATGGGTGGATGGCGGTGATGGTGGTCGATAGTGGTGTTGGCCAACAATGGTGGTTGTAGCGTCGATGGTGGTCATGGCGACGGTGGTCTGCGGTTGATGCATGGCGTCAATTGCAAGAAATATTAGATATACATGAAAATCATCCAAATCGGAGGAATTACAAATATGTTGTGGATTTGAACTAGAGGTTGAATTCCTTTTACTTCAAAAATTTACTCTGCATTCCTTTTATTTTAAACTAAATACCAATATTTTCAAAACCCTTGCATTTGAGATACTTTACACCCTTTTTACAACAAACCAAATAGTAAAAGCTGAGAAGCTGCTGATTTTCTTTTTATGCTCATATCCAGCTTATATTTTTTGGTGGACTTATTTGCTTTCAACTAACATCATTCGTTGTTGTCCGTTTGTCTGTATAGAAGGCTTAAATGTCAGAAGTATGTTGGGTTTTACTTGCTTAAACTGATTTTCTGCCAACGCTTTTATCTAACTTATGATTTAATGGAACCTTATACTTGCTATTTTTTCTTTTGTTTCAGGGAGGCAAGGGGATTACGGATTTAAAGCTGGCTCTTCAGGTAATCAGTGGTCTCATATGATCTTTTGCTTTTTTAAACGTGTCCTACATTTAGCTAAAATTTACATTTTTTAGGATATATTCGGTGAAGCATTACTTGAGAAAATTGATTTCCTTCAAACATTTTCCACAGAGAGTCATTGTGTTAGGTATGGTTTGGCCAATCTATATCACATTTATCAGACTTCCTTTTGAGTTGATTTCCTTTTCATCCTGCCAATTTCTTTGCATCTCAGAAGTATTATTTCAGCTGGAACTGTTTTGCGGTCTTATTCTATCAATGAAGATGCTGAGTCATCTGATAATCTTTCAGACGGTTCATTTATTGAGGTACACTGCCTTGGCATTTGAAGTTGTTCTAGAAACTAGCTTTTTGGAAAATTTTATTTTAACTCTTATTTTTAAGTTCTGATTTGTGAAAATTAAAGGATTCATGTCATGATTATTTGACAAATTTTACGCTTACTGTTGACTACCTAACTCAACCCTCCACTTTTCTCATCCAGAACTTGAGACATGACAACGACAGTGTTAATTTGGATTCATGCTAAGTAGGTCTACTATGGAAGCTATACATTTGTTGAGAGGTTTGATGGAGAAGCATAGAGAGAATAAGGAGGATTTACGTATGATTTTTATTGATTTAGAGAAAGCATAATGCTTATATTCAAGTCATTAAGGATATGTATGCAGGAGTCGTTACTTGTGTTCAAACACAAGGTGGTTTGACCAAGTATTTTCTTGTTTCAGCTGGATTACATCAAAGGACCAGCCTTAAGCCCATATTATTTTTCTTTAGTCATGTATGTTCTCACTAGACATTTGAAAGAGGTTGTACCTTGGTAATGCTTTTTGTTGACGATATTCTTCTTGCTGATAAGACTAGAGAGGGATTTGGAGGTAAACTTGAATTATGGAGGTCAACCTTAAAGTCTAAAGGCTTTCATTTGAGTTGATCTGAAACTGAATATATGGAGTGTAATTTTAGTAATGATAGATTTAGTGGGGGGATTGTGACTTTGGGTGATCAAGTCATTAATAAGAACACACATTTTAGATATATTGGGTATATTGTTCAGAGTGATGGTGAAATAGATGGGGATATTTTAAGTAGAATTCAAGTTGGATGGTTGATGTGGAGGAATGCATCGGGTTTGTTATGTGATAGAAAAGCCCCTCTCAAACTTAAGGGAAAATTCTATAAGATGGTAGTGAGATCTGCAATGCTTTATGGTGCAGAATGTTTGCCATTAAAAGAGAAGCATAATATTAAGTCAAGTGTTGCAGAGATGAGGATGCTCAGGTGGATGAATGACTTTACTCTTAAAGACATCATACGAAATGTGCATATATGTGAAAAGGTTGGAGTAGCTCCAGTGGAAGATAAGATTATAGAGAGTCATCTTAGATGGTTTAGTCACATAAAACAGTGGCCTTCCGATGACTTGGTTAGAAAAGTAGATGTATTAGATTTGACTTATGTTAAGAAAGGTAGAGGTAAACCTAAAAAGACTTGGTTAGAAAATATTAGAAATGACATTTCTTTATTAGATTTAGATGAGAATTTGACCCTTAACAGAACATAATAGAGAAAAAGGATTAATATAGCCGACCCCACATAGTGGGATAAAGGCTTTTGTTGTTGTAGTATGTGTAAAAATCTAAGATGCACGGACACGGCGACACGGACACGACACGACACGGACACGGGACACGGCATTTTTTAAAAATACAGGACACGGGTGCGGCGTGAACACGGCATACTAATTTTTAATATAATATATAGAAATTAAGGTAATATTATATTAAAAATGGCAAGCAATATTAAGATTATCAACAGCAAACACACGCAAGAATAGATCTCAGTGCAAGAAAATATTTCTCTATTTCAATCTCACATACCTTCTTCTCCTTCCAAATGAAGAAGACAATGCGCAAATGTAAAACCAGTTGGTTTCCCCTCTTCAGTGGAATTGTAGAAAAAATCAAGTTCCTGTAACAGGAATTAGGTTAGAGCGTCGATTTAGGGGTTCTTTGGCAACAGGATTTGAGCAGGATTTACGGGATTTGGCCGAAGAAGCGCGCGAAAGGGAGAAAGTTACCTTAGCAGCGAGCGAGCTCGTGTCTTTGCTTCTGATCAAAATGTTGTAAACTCCGATAACGTCGTCGAACTTACAGATCGACTGTGCGAGCTCCTGCTCGGGAAAGCCGGAAGCTGAAGGCGACGATGCGGGCTGGAGACTCGATCGACTGCGCGACTCCTCTGCTCGAGACGGCCAGAACCTCGCCTGGTCGGGACGGTCGTAAGCTGAAGGCGACTCCTCTTGAGGGTGCGGGCTGGAGCCTCCCAGTGGAAGATAAGATTATAGAGAGTCATCTTAGATTGTTTAGTCACATAAAACGGCAGCCTTCCGATGACTCGGTTAGAAAAGTAGATGTATTAGATTTGACTTATGTTAAGAAAGGTAGAGGTAAACCTAAAAAGACTTGGTTAGAAATTATTAGAAATGACATTTCTTTATTAGATTTAGATGAGAATTTGACCCTTAACAGAACATAATGGGGGAAAATGATTCATGTAGCCGACCCCACATAGTGGGATAAAGGCTTTTGTTGTTGTTGTTGTATGTGTGAAAATTGAGGCTTTTATTTCTTTCAAATAAGATTCTGGTACATTAAAATTTCACAAATGTCCTATGAATTTCATAATAACAATTGTGAAATGTTTTTTTTTTCTTTGTTTGCAATTTTATGTTTTTTTTAAATTTTCTTTTCCTTTTTTTTTAATGATATAGATTTGTGCATTTGACACGTCATTTTAATCTAATTTGATTTTTGGTTAAGTTACTTTCTTTACTAACAATTTTTGTTACTTCTGGTCTTTTTCTCTTAAAGCTTGTGCTGCATTATCTTAGCTTTTGTTTTTCTGATCGATGCCATGTCTTTTCAGCACCAGGTTGTTCGAATGGAACTATGCAGCTTACCTGTTGGATTATTGTATAGCCGTCTCGTACCTCTTACTTTTCTTCTTATTGATGGTATTGCTTCATCTTTTATGACCTTCTAAGCAATAATTATAGTGAATCCTGTTTTATCGGGTGACAAATTTTGTAATGCTTTGATTCAGGCAGCAGTCCAATTGATGTGACAGATTCAAAATGGGATATCTATTTTGCCGTGAAGAAAATACAGAGCCAAACAGGGGATTATGATCTAAGATTGCTTGGTTTTGCAACTGTCTATCGATTCTATCATCACCCTGAAAGCACTCGCCTTCGACTAAGCCAGGTGTGTTCCATCAGCTTTTATTGAAGTACTTTTGAGCTTTATTGATTCTAGAGTCTATGACCTGATGTCATTAGTTTTTGTACAAGTTTTCATCAAGACATTGATATTCTACCATTTCTACATTTGTCTCCTCTACTTAGAGGCTACTGCTGGCTAGATGTCATGCTTATTGTGCATTATTGTTGCTGTTATGTCTGATAACTGACTTTTACTCTGGTTGCATAAAAGCTTTGCTAGGCTTAGGATATGTTTGTTTGGAGCTAGTCTGGTTGGGTTTACGTCTGGCTTAAACTAGTTCAAGTTCCAAAGCCAAACCAAACAACTGTTGTGCACTTTCCTAAGGCTGCAAAGCTTTTGCCTGGTTTTTCCTAAAACTCTATTTGAGCTTAGTTACTTAAAGCGCCCCAGCAAGAGGGCTAAAGCTAGCTTAATATTTTTTCTTCTCTCCTGGCTTCAGATCTTCATCTTTCTCTTATCTTGATGCTTCTCACGATGACCAACACCATCTTTCATCCCTGTAAATGTCGTTGTCACTATCCTTAGTTCTGATGTCTGTCAATGCCATCGTCGTGTCCCATTAATTTTGCAGTCTGTCATAGATGTAGTCACCATTTTGCTTGAGGTCACAGTTGTTGATGCTGCAGTTGAGTCATTGACAGAATCACTCTTGATGGTGCAATCATTGGATCATTAGTTATATAATTAATTTCTAATTATCTAACATACTGATTAATTTAATTAAGTATACTAATTAATACAATTAATTTCTGGTCAAGGTTAATTTTTTAGCTTTTTGTGGGTCATTTTTCTGCTTGTCATCTTTTTTTTTTTTGGCCTACCAAATGGCTCAAGTCCGCTTAATACTTAAGCCTATGAGTTTCTCTGTTAGCTTATCCTCGGTTTATCCCAAGCCCAACTCAACAAACCTTTGCTTTTTTTATCCAGGATGTATAAGTTGCTTCTTTTAGTTTTGAGACTATTGACTTTCAGTTGTATTGATCTGTTCAAATATTAGGATGGCGTTCTTTGCACTCTCTAACAGCAGTCCAGTTTATAAAAGTACACTTTTCCTAGAATAATAAAATTACAACTTCATGCCAACTCTCGTCGTTTCTGCATTCAGATACTGGTATTACCTCCTTACCAGGGGGAAGGGCATGGCCGGCGCCTTCTTGAGGCGGTTAATTCAGTTGCAATAGCTGAGAATGTGTATGACTTGACTGTGGAAGAACCTTCGGAATATCTCCAGTACCTGCGGTCCTGCTTTGACACCCTTCGCCTGCTTGATTTTGAACCGATAAAACCAGCCATTAACTCTGTTGCGTCATTACTTAGGACTTGCTCTGTATCCAAGAAGTCCTGCAAGTCACTGGCACGCCCTCCAACTCATGCTATTGACACTGTACGCCAAAAATTAAAGATCAACAAGATTCAGTTCCTTAGGTGTTGGGATATCCTCATATATCTCAACCTTAATTCCAAGGACCGCAAGATCATGGAGAACTTCAAAGCAAGTATCTCCACTCGTTTACAGAGTGATGTATTTGATAAAGACACCAAGTCCAAAGGAAAGCTTTTGATTGAAGTGCCAAATGATTATGATCATGATATGACCTTTGTTGTATATTGTTCACAAAATGGAGAAGAATCAGACTGCTTAAATGGAGCTCAAGCTGATCTGGAGCAGCAGTTGAACAAGTTGGTTGATAAGCAATTAGAGGACATCGTTGAGATTGCAGAGAAGGTTTCTTCTCTAAGGAGTTAGTGAGATGGACTGTTTAGTTAGCGCCTGTAATGATGTTGTGGCCTTCCTTCTCCACAGTAGTTTGTAAGCTGAAGCAGCGACGTGTTCATAGTGAAAACTTGGCAGGTAATTGAAAATGTGCTATATTTGCTTACATAACACAGGAACTGTAAGATGATCAGGTTAGACGAAGAGGTAATGAATTTTTGCCCTTTGCGGTTTCATAATCACCGGTAATTCGATATCATGTCCGAAGCGTTCAACTGGGACAATCATTTTCTCTGCGAGGTGATGGAAAAAAAATGGTTTGAGTTATTGTTTCTTCTTTAATTATTTGTAGTGATTTTTGTACTTTAGTTGCACTCTATTGATATATCTATTTGTTTTATGTATTTCTCGTTGATCTATTTTTATGGAGACATATATGAGGGGTGCCATTTAGTAGGGGTGTAAATAAGTTGAGCTGGTTCCTGAGTTTACTCAAGTTCAATTTTAAATGGCTTGTAAATTGAGCTAGAAGAGCAAAAGTCAAATGGGAGCCAACCTTGATTCACTTGATCATTTAAAAAAGTTAATATAAAATATATTTAAAATATATTAAATTTAAAGTGTTTATTATATATATTTTTAATAATAGATCTTGTGGCAGGTTTATGACTTTGAGCAATAAAGTCATTATTACTAAGTGTACTTATTTTAGATATTTTGGGCTATTGTTTTTAGTGATGGTTGATGGGGGATATTATTAGTAGAATTAAAGTTGGATAGTTAGGTCAAGTGTTGTTGAGATGCGTATGCTTAGTAGATGAGTGGATTTACTCTTAAGAGATGTGATATGAATGCTAATTTAAACAATTTAATTTAAATTTTAAAAAATACTTTTAGTCCCCTCGAAAATCCTGCAGCCTTCCGGCGTCCCCTCCCCGATGCTGGGAGGTAAGAGAGTGGCTCGACTCGGCCGGAGCGAATCAACGGCGAGGAGATTTGGGAGAGCGAATCGATCCCATAAAAGAGTCTTCAGGTCTTCTAATGTGGGCGATCGACCTGCTAATTTAAACAATTTAATTTAAATTTTAAAAAATACTTTTAGTCCCCTCGAAAATCCGACAGCCTTCCGGCGTCCCCTCCTCGATGCCGGGAGGTAAGAGAGTGCTCGACTCGGCCGGATCAAATCGAAGGCAAGGAGATTTGGTCTTCAGAAGCTTTGATGATCGCCAGTTGTAGATGATTGGTTGTTAGGACTGCAAGCGAACCAAACGTTCGACGAGCTACTCGTTGTTCGGTTCGATTAAAGCTCGTTTGTGATCGTTTAATTAACTAAATAAACAAACTTGAACAATATTTTAAATATTTGATTTTTAAATAAACAAACTTGAACACTAATGCGTTCGGCTCATTTATGTTCGCTAACAACATCATTTGAAGTCGACATTAAACTCGATAAAAAGCTCGATTCGTGTTCGATTTTGAACTCGTGAATAAGCTCAATAAAAATAATTAATATTTTACTATATAATTAATAAATATAAATAATCATTGCCTTTTTAACATAGACAATTGCTTTTATTATAAATATTTTTGTTCATAGATATGTTCATGAACGTGTTTCTTTGATAGTTAAAAAAAATTCGTTAAATATGTTCGCGAACAAGCTCGATAAGCACTAAACAAACGAACATGAACTAAACATGAACCGAACACGAACACTCATTAATTTAAATGAACCAAACATGAACACAAACAATAAAGCTCGAACAAACATGAACCAAACTTGAACAAGCTAATATTAAATGAACACAAACATGAACGCTCACATACTCGGCTCGGCTCGGTTCATTTGCAGCCCTAGTCCGGGCCTATTAAGGGCCTGATTGGTAATTGTTTTAGTTAAATGATTATGTATTTTAAGATAATAATTTCATGGGCAAAAGAGTTTGTCTAGTGGTTGTCACTGTTAGTCAATTCTGTTGGTTGTAAGCCGGAAATGTTTTGTCAAAACTTCGAGTTATCAATAAAAAAACGAGGGTTGTGAAAAAAGTTAGGTAAAAAATATTTCAAAAGCACTACTTAATTTATAGTAACAATTGTGCGCGACAAGTTTTTTTAGCAGAAAGAGATGATTTGATAAACTTGGCTATGAGTGACGAGTCTCACAATGAAGAAGTAAAATAAAATTGATTGGGATATTATTTTTAATAAAAAAATCCTTAAAATAGAAATCATAAGGCTTAATTTAATTAAACTAGTTTCTACTAATAATAGATATAAGCCATAGCTATGCTTCTTTCTTTACCTTTGAGAAGGTGCTGACACAAAGCATGTGAAAACATAGTGTGGCTAGTTTCTTCAGTGTTCGAGATGCAATAAGCTTGAATGTTGCGACAATTACACTGCGAGGTGAAGGTGGTTCGATCTGAATGCAGTGAAGTAGATGATATTGAAAGTTTGAGAACTCCACTAAGGTTGATTGGGATGGTCCTTCTCATAGATGTGTAGATGCCATGACCTCAGGGTGGATGACATATGAGATTATCTTAAATGGACAAAAATGCCATTGAGTATGGTTGAGACAAACCTCTTGGAAGTGAAGATAACACAACCAGAGGATGATGAGCAATATGATGTAGGATGTTCATAGAGGTGATTGAGGTCAACTAGGAAGTTTCTCCTTCTAGAGGTAGAGATGATAAGACCTAAAGGTTGTTGGCAATGCAACATATTAAATTTGTGTATGGCATGGAGGATGTTAAGGATGACCCTTTGTCATGGATGTAAGCTAGCACATGCTTAAGGTCATGGACAATGACGTAGGAAGGTCGTGGGGTTTACTAAGTATGCATGGCTCGATCCTTCTAAAGTGATGGTCACATTACCATATGATAATGGATGAGGTAATGTAAGAAGCTTGTGTTGAGATCAACAATGATTCCCAAGATAGTTCTCATGGTGGCGAACTTATTATAACCTTGAGTTGTTGGATGAGACAAAACATAAAAGATTTGGGGCCATTAATGATAGCCAAAATTATTTTATTATTGCGGGATCTAAAAATTTGCGCCCCAGTCCCTTCGCTTTTTTTTTTGTTTTTTTGACGAGGAGAGTTTTAATGAGATTTAAGTTTTGTGGTAAATTTTGAGAAGGTATATTGGATTTTAGATAAAAAAACTAACTGGAGATTTCATCTTGAAAATGAGAGAGCACTTTCAATTAAGGCCAGTAGCTAAATAGGCACTGAGTACCCAACGTATAATAGCATCAATTTTAGGGTTTTAAAATTAGATTTGAGGTTTTTTTTTTTAATATTTAAAATTTATCATCATACTTAAAGTGTGTGATGGGGGAATGATAGAAGACCCAATCAAGATCCTATAGTTTTGTCATCACAGTTTTTCATAGTCCATGAACTCCATAGGATGGATGAATTTTTTTACTTTAGGTGTTTAGGCGATTAATTTCATCTTGAATATTCTAAAAGTTTAACTTTTAGTGATTTATATGATATATTAGATACTAAGGAGGATGAAAGATGTATGTAAAAGTTTTTCAAACAAAGAGGCAGGAGAAGTAAGGATTTAGTTCAAGTGAAGTGCATTAAGGATGAAAATAAAAGTACTTTTAGTAGAAGAGGATATTCAACAAGGTGGATGAGATGTTTTGATAAGCTTTTTATGCAGATTATTAGAATAAAATTGGCTTTAATGACCTTAGCATCCTAAATGAAAATAAAGATATCAGCATATTAGTAAAATTAAAGTTAGAGAGGCTTTAAAGAAAATGAACTATGGATAAGCCATTGGACCTGATGATATTCCAATAGAGTTGTGGAAATGCTTAGAAAATGAATGAATTTCTTAGCTTACAAAACTTTTCAATATTATCTTGAAGACTAAAAATATGCTAGATGAGTAGAGTAGGAGTGTGTTGCTTCCTATTTTTAAGAATAAAGGTGATGCACAAGAATATGTGAATTATGGATGAAATAAGTTAATGTATCATACTTGAAAATTTTAGGATAGAGTTATAGAGCTTAATTTACGATGTGATACTAATGTTTCTCAAAATTAAATTGGATTCATGTCGAGTAGGTCTACTATGGAAGCTTTACATTATTGAGAGGTTTGATGGAGAAGTATCGGGAGAATAAGGAGGATATGCATATGATATTTATTAATTTAGTGAAAGCCTATGATGAAGTTTCAAGTGAAGTGCTATGGAGAGTTTAAGAAAAGAAAGGGGTTAATAATGCTTAATACTCAAGCCATTTTAGGATATGCATGTATGAGTTGTTGTGTTCAAACACAAGGAGGATGAGCCAAGTATTTTTTTTTTATTTCAGTTATATTACATCAAGAATCAACTTTAAGCCCAAATCTTCTTACTAGACATTTGTAGGATAATGTACCATGGTGTATGTTTTTTTTTTTCTGATGATATTCTTCTTATTGATAAGACTAGAGAGGAAGTTGAAGGTAAACTTAAATTATCGAGGTCAACCTTAGAGTCTAAAGGTTTTCATTTAAGCAGATCTAAAATTGAATACATTGAGTGTAATTTTAGTAGTAATACATCTAATGAGGGGATTATGACTTTGGGAGATCAAGTCATTAATAAAAGTACATGTTTTAGATATCCCCACTCCATTGTCCATACTGGAGATGAAATAGATGGGGATATTATTAATATAATTCTAGTTGATGGTTGAAGTGGAGGAATGCATCAGGCCTATTATGTGATAGAAACGTACCCCTCAAACTTAAAGAAAAATTCTATAAGATGGCGGTGAGACCAGAAAAGCTTTATGGCATATAATATTGGCCATTAAAAGAGAAGCATGCAATTAAGTTAAATGTTGCAAAGATAAGGATGCTCAGGTGGATGCATAGCTTTACTCATAGAGATAGAATGTAAAACGAGCATATACGTGAAAAGGTTGGAGTAGCTCCAATGATAGTTAAGATTAGAGAGAGTCACCTTAGATGGTTTGATCACATAAAATGTCAGCTTTATGATGACCTAGTTATGAAAGTATATGTATTAGATTTGGTCTGTATTAAGAGAGGTATATCCATACTTAAAAATACTTGGTTATTTTGGCAGCTCCGTGGAGAAGAGCGATCTTGGCGATTTTGGTAGCTTCGTGGAGATCGGTGGTTCTCCATCGGCCTGGTATGGCCGACGAAGGTTCTTTGAAGTATCTGGCTAGAGAGGCGATGGATTTCAAGATTGGTTTGGCGGACCTAAGCCAGACATTGGTTCTCCATCCATCGAATTTGGATAATGTATGTGATTATTATTCAGATGCTAGATTCTTGATTGAAGATGGTAAGTTTACAATTCTGGATGTGATCTTTGAGAAGGATTTTCATTTGCTCGATGGTGGGTTGAGTTTTTGTT